GTTGGCAAACCCATGCCAACAGATGATGTTTTTTTCTGGATTTTTGGTTGATTAAAATTAAACTACCATAAAAAGTGAACACAATTACAAATTCAGCAGCGGATCAAATTATTATCTCCCCAACTGTAAGCATATAAATGACATTCAATGCTCAGCGGATTGCAGGTTTCCCCAACCTTATAAACAGTACGTTTGTACAATAACTGAAACTAGCATCACTGAAGGAACAGCGGGCTGGGAGGTCAATTCCTTGATCACTGTTCATAGGATTGGGGAAACCTGCAGTCAGCCGAGACTGAAGAAATCACTTGGATGAGTGACGAAACTTTTCTCCCACAAAACGCTACGTTTATATGAACAGAATCGACTTTGAGGGATTTACTCAACTGGATGATTGAGCGTGCATCAAGACGACATTTAAATTAGTTTAATAAAACAGATGAAAAACACAAAGGGAGACAAGCTTCTAGGACGCCCATATTTAAACAACTAACTTAGCAGCATTTAAAAAAAAAAAAAGCTTTGGTCCCTATAGGTAGTTCCCCCCCTTCATAACAGCTGGATGGCGGTGGAGTTTTTTCAAATAACTCGTCAGTTTTGATAGTGTTAAGGCTTAAATTTACGTCCGTGGCCACCTGATTGACTGGTGTGCTGACTGCTGGGCTTCACCTCCTCTAATTCCAGTCTCTGAACTCGCCCTCTCAGCTGCCTTTGCTGTGTCGGGGACTAATCTGACAAATGACATGGCACGCTGTGTGGCATAGACCATCCAAGAAGTTTGGGCTTCTGTTTTGGTGACAGGCATAATGGTGTTTTCTTAGTCTGCTACCTAGCACAGTTTGCTGCTGCTTGCTAATCAAGGTAGCTGGCTGAAAGCTGAGCAGTCCAGCATGGTACAGATGGTAACTTCTGGCTGTAAAAAGACCTACAAAAGTTCGACCAGCAAAATGCAGAGTAAAGGCTACAGTTAAGCTTAATTTTTAAGCCATAATAAAACCAGATATTATAGTGAATAATACTGACACATAGCGCTGTATATAACTCACGAATAGCCCTCCGAAGCCATCGGGACAAGGCTCCATCAAATGTTTCAAATATAGGGTACAGGCAAAGGATCATTTATATTTTGTCGAGTCAATGAATATGATGCTCGAGGGCCTCTTTTATGCGACGGCTCCGCGCCGGGTTCGCGTTTCATCTGGAAGGACCCTTGTGTTTTTTGATAGTTTTTTTGATAGTTTCTCAGACGTGAAAGTGGGGACAGAGGAAAAAAGGCGAGGAGAAGGGAGAGAGAAAAGAAAGAGATGAGAGAGCTAAGTGCTTTTTAGTGACTCAGTGACAGCCGTGACCAAAATCGTATTAAGGTCACAATGGGGGTGGTGCGGTGGAGTAAAGAAGCTTTTCAAATGAATCAATTCTCCATCTCTGCTTTTCCCCGCTGCTTCTCTTGCGTGTGTGTGACTGAGTTTGTCCAAGGCGCATATCGCAGGTGTATATCTCAGTCTGTACTGTCTACGGCGAAACATGAGTCGGTTCAAGCGTTCTGATGGGTGACCTTGTTGCATCTGGCGGTGTCGTCCGGTCGAGCGAAAGGGCCGCCGTGCTGGACTTTGCCCAGGGAGCGGTGTATTTCCTTGTCAGGGATTTCATCCACATCCTTTACTCCCTCCTCACGCCGTCTCCCCCGATGATTGCGTTGTATACCGCTTCTCACATCCCCGCCACTAATGCCTTTTTCTTTAGATCGTTACCCTCCTCTCGCCTCGGCGCTGTTAGCAATCGCTCAATCAGAAACGCCGGCCTCCCCGCGGTCCCCGTTGTGTGGCCATTGCTCACAGGAGGTGAGGAGGCTTTGATCAGGTAGCGTTTGGCTGTTTACTTTGATTTGATCTATGGGGTCCGCATGCTGTTCAGAGTTATTGGCAAATTTGGGGTGTCGGTAACAGCGATTCACATGCAGCAATGGTTGCTCGCGCTTGGTATGGACTTGTTGTGTTGCAGTGACAGCTGGAGTGTTTTCTGTTAATGAGGTGCTGTGCTGTACCAGTTTATGATCTGACAAACACAGACGACTTGTTCAAGCCTCTCCCCTCCCCGTTGTTTTCCTCTCCTTCTCGCTCCTTTTCGTTGGCTCAGTGCCTTCATTAATATTGTTCTCCTCTAATAACTTTCCCATCTTTCAAACTTTACCCCACCTGCCCCCTGCCCACTGACCTCCATACCTCACTCTGTTGCACTCTCCATTTGGAGGAGAGGACTCTTGTAAGCCCTAGTAACAGAGGTTAATCCTCTCTTATTAGAACCGGGATTACTGAAGGGGAAGGGACAGGAGCAGGCGCACGGGGTGGATGCTAACGCCAACTACGAATGAAGGAGACTGACAAAACGCCATGTCTGACATAAAAGGCTTGTTCACTTCACGGAAAAAAAGAATTATATATAGAGTTAAGATGTAATAGGCTCAGTAGTTTGTTTTCAGCAGGCTTTCGGCGTGCCTGTTTAGATGTAGACTGCAAACAGCTCTTACTTTTCCCTTACTTGCAGGAGTCATGTTTAAAAAAATAGGTCACTCAAGCTCCCACTTGAATACGAGATGCTACATAAATTTACTTTAAATTTGAAATGAGCTACTTAACGTTTGAATTGAGTAACAGAAGTAGATCAGTGAGAAACATATTTTCTCGCCTGAAGTCACCGTGATGAAGCTGAACTCAGAAGTACATGGAGTTATTATTCACAGTGGATAATGCTAATGCGAGAGAGATCTCTTGGAGTGAATTAATCACTTGATTCTGCTGATCTGCTTAGCTCTTCTGTGTGATTTAGCATCTCTTAGCTAGCAGGTTTTTAATTTTATTATTTAAATCGTTTATTTTTATATTTTTTGGATAGATAGAAAGGCTGAGAATACTAAATTTGAACATGCTAGGTGACCACCAGTGTTGGGTAAAACAGGCTACAATGAGCTACAATCAGATGACATTTTACAGCAGCACAGGCATGTTTCTTTCTTCACACTTGCACTACATCACCTGATTTCAGTTTTAAAGGGCATCGTTTTAAATTTTTAAGGGTGTGACAGTAAATGCAAACTGCGTCCAAGACAGACACAGTTGCTTTACACTGCTAACATAACTTCAATTCTCTGCAAAGATCTCTGCAGATAGCATGCTAACACAAAGCTAGCCAAACACCCAGAATGATGTTAAAGCTGAAAGTATGCTGACCCCAGACCAGCCGCCTGAGGCTGATCTTCAAAACAGGCAGTGGTCAGCATTAGTATTGTAGCCTCCATTTCTACAGTAGAATTTCAGTGGATTGATTTTGTTCTCAGCTTTGCATTAAAAGAAAGACTGTATATACGTCCTCATTAGGATAGGGATTTATGCTAATGAGACTGTTAACTTATTAACTGATAATCAGGCCATTTACAGAGTAATGCAAAAGTAATGCAGCAGGTTGTGCGTTACTTACTCCAGAGAGTAATTAAGTAACATAAGCACTTTTTTAGAGTAACGAGTAGCGCTGTAACACATTATTCCTTTACTTAGTCATCTAACTACTACCTCAACACTGATGACCACTAATAAAACTCAAGTTTAATACTAATGTTGCTCTCTGTCTGCCGTGCAAATGGTAACGTGTTTGGAAATATGTCAATGTTTCAAGTGTGTGTCAATAAGAATGTGTTTATGCAGATTTAAATCTCGATCTCAGTCCAAGTGAAATCAATATCCAGCAAGTCATCCATTATAATAATCTAATAACAGTCGCACCAGTCAATTTAGAATGATTTACATCATCTGCTGCATCCCATTGAATAAGGGGAGGTATCGTATACGGTAATCATCATCATTGTCATCAGTCTGTTCAGGTTATGAGTGTCTGATTATTAGTTTAGGAGCTAAATCAATGTGTGGTGTTTTGCAGTGGCTGAATTGTTGGACAGATTATTTTCTCTTTTCGCTTGAACAAACTTGAAAATGGTTAAAACATTTCTGAAGAATTCAGAAGTTTCTAATTATCATAACATTTTAAAAAGTCTACAATATGTAAACATTTTATATGACTGGAGAAAATTCAGTTGCATTTTATATAGTGCCAAAATACAGAAATCAAAGCTAAGAGAAGCTACTTAAGTTAAACAGAAATGCTGCACATTGTGCTGTATATGGAGAATTAGGTCAATTTAAGTAGATTAACATGGGTGAATGTTGGATTATTGGTTTTTAGTGTAGATTACTTAATGGAAATAAGAATAAATTTTCCTTTCTTGTGGTTTATTTCTAAAAACAAGTGTTTTCAAGTCACAGCGGATAGTTATACGTTATATTATTATTAATATTATTATTATTATTATTATTATTACAGGATTTTCATATTTATGCTGAAAAACTGTCATGGTGAATGAGAGGTGTATATGTGCAGATAAATACGGGTATATATGGTTGATTTGTTGATAGTTGATGACGATGATGATGTGAAGTGAATGACCCTTTGCCTTGATTGTACGCCGGGAAGGGTTCTAGCCTAGGTCAGCATAACTAAGGGAGGGTCGGGGTCACCTGATCCTGCTCTAACTATAAGCTTTAAACAGAAGCATTAAGCTTAAACCTGCCATCTATAAATGACAATATGTTGAAATGTTTTTTAAGCCTTTTCTAAAAGCCCTGCCTCGTCTCATACATTCCCATCCCCACAGCGATGTCTTTGTTTTTTTGTTGCCGTGCAGGCGTCAGTGCAAAAGCCCAGAGCATGTTCTACAACAATTTCAGAGTTGATTAATCTGTCTTTTTCCAGCAGGCTCATATGAGGCGCAACGCTGTCTGCTTTCTAAAAAACCCAAAAAAAACAACTGACAATCAAATTTTGTGTGTCCCTCTGTTACTAACCCATGTTTCTCTTGGAGTGTCTGGAAAATAAAGACAGTGATCATGATGTTAACCTGTTCTTTGTATTTTTTCTTTCTTTCTCTCTCCCCTTCATGCCTAAAAAAATAGAAGTGGAACAAAAAGGTAACTAAATACCAACAACTTTTCTTTGTCTTTGTCACCTTGCATTTCCATTTGGGCACGCGCTTGCTATTTTCCGGTGACGGGCCGCTACGGCAACTTTTCGTAGGACCATTGTGTTGTTCGCTACTGTGGCTCAACATGCATTTCATGGGGAATATCTGGTTTTTCCATGAAACACCGTTAGGGAATTTCATGTACAGCAGCGTCCAAAATATTAATTAACCTTCCGACCCCGTGCCTTCACTTCTTGTTCATCAGCAGTATCAACCACACGGGTTCTGATATCCAAGCCATCGCAAACCTCCTCGCTGCTGAAATCTCATAACCCCGGCGTGTTTTTATTCCCTGTAATAACTGAAAATTCTTCCAGCTCTGCGTTATCAGCTGCATAATATTAAAGCAGAGGGCTATACAGGTTGATCAATAGCTTGTCCAGTAAGCTGTCAGCATTTTTCATTATACCTCTAACATGATGATGACTATAACCTTCAGGGACTAAAAAGAGTCAATACTAGGGATAAATCATAGCAGCTGTATTCTTACCTTATCAGCACTGTATGATGCTGCAAAACATATGCTAAAGCTACACTTGTGCCCCAGGAGCTTTGCACCGTGTTTGTAGTCTTACCTTTTAACACGACCTGGAGAATTTGTTCGTTGTCAGATGTTAACAATAAAGATGTATCGAAGCCAAACCGCAGAAATGGAATGAGTTTGGCTTTGATACCTGCGCCGCATTATCTTTTTGCACGATGCCATAAATATAAAGTCGGGTTCGAGTTAAAGATGGGATTTAAATCATTAAACGAGTCGAGAGCTCTGCTGAAGTGGCCGAGGCAATGCATTTTTTCCGGTTTCGTTGTAGTCATTAGTTAGTGGCGTGTCGCGAAACCAAAAGCAACGAGAACGAGCAGCGAAGGTGAGTTACAAACGTTTTACCGATGTGATGGGCGGTGCTGTGGTAACGGTTGTGAAGTTCCCCATGAAAGCCATGTGAGCCTTTGTATCGCTCCTCTAATGTCTTCCATTCACTCCTCCATCTCTTGCATCCTTAAAAACAACAAAAAAGCATATTTTACAACCTCCATAGAGCCCAGTGTGCTGTCAGAACAAAGCTTGCCGACTCTGACCTTGTACCCCAGCGCATCTTGTGTTTCTCAACCATAGAAACGGCCCTCTTAGCGTTTAGCTGAGCACCGCTGAGATGTGTGCCGAGGCTGTATGTCAACAGGACGCATCTCGCCACATTTTCACCTGCAGGTAGACAACATGTTTAATCTTAGGAGATTACAAGGGAAAGAAGCCTCTGTGTTTTTTTTGGTTTTTTTTTTCTTCCCTGTCTCTTCCTCGACGGAGCCCGCAGCTTTTACCTCTCAATGGATCCACGGCTAGAAGCTGTCAGCGCACTGTCAGGCTGCTGGCCTGCTACAGCGGAGAGAGCCTTCTCGCACACATCGTTTTTATTTCTGATATTCGTCTGGAGCAAACCTGTTGAAAGTGGGGGAAGCTCTTAATTGTGCCTTCTTTTCTGCCTGTGTTTCTCCTTCGTCTGCTGTTTTAGCTTTCGTTGTTACATGTGTTATTGTTTGTACAATTTTAATTGCAGTATTAAACTCTTACGCTGTGTTGTTGTTGTAATTCTGTATGCAGATGCAATCTACTTAGAAAGAAAAGAAAATTATAATTGTCTCAGTCCACGATAATCCATAATGAACTAAAATTTGCTTTCCACCATTGACCCTCTCCAGCTGTATTGGCTTTATCAGATCTGACTACAAACCGGTTTACATATAATTAGTTTATTGTGTGTGGGGCTGTAAATCATGCAACGGGGCTGAAAAATGTCATGTAGGTGAAATAATGGACAGGCTATCATTACACAGATGATGTCACTTTAATTTGTTTTCTTTCTCCTAAATCTCTACCTTGGCCAATAATTGAACTGCAGCTATTTATCAAAAAATTTAGGTTGGGGGGGGGGGTTGTGTCTTTAATGCTGTTTACTAAGAAGTGCCGCTGGGGTGCTTTAACCAAAGAGAAGAATGAAACCTATTTTCTTCCCTGGCACAGTATCTAATTGGATGTGAAAAGAAGCCGTTGTGCAAAGTTTAACTGAAACTAAAGGGAACCAAAATGGTAATTTGTGTGTGTTTCTGTGGGCGAGTTAGTGGTGTTCGGGTAAGTTCCATCAGTGACTTCTGACTCGTTTCTGCTCTGCATTAAGTCAGCAGAGATAACCCTGACTTCATTTACTCTTCTCTCCCTCCAAACTCAAAGCCAGTTTATTCAGACAGATTGTAACTACCCGCCTCTGGGGTCCGGTAACTGTAGTCGAAGTATCATATGTAACAGCTGAAGACTACAGTAAGTAATTGAAAGCAAAGCAGTGCTCACTGCACTGGAGACACTGTTGGAAATAATGAAAAGGCTCATTGTGGGTTGGGTTTTTTTGTTATTGATTGTGTTCTGTTTAATTTTAGTAATAAAATCCAAATAATTCTAACTATCAGTGTTCTTCACGCAAATCTTTTTTTATCTGCTTTTCTTCTAAAACTGCCCATCTTAACACAGATTTCAACCTGTTCAATTTTGTCTCTGATTCGTCTGTCTAATACCTGCCAATGTAACTCTGTAATTGTCTTTCCCCATTTTTGGCTCCTCAGTATTCCTGTGCCCAGGGCTTCTGCGGAGGGTGTACCAGAGCGAGCATCTCTTTGAATCGGACCACCAGTCCGGAGCTTGGTGCAAAGACCCTCTTCAAGCTTCGGATAAGATCTACTACATGCCTTGGACACCCTACCGCACGGACACCTTGACCGAATACTCATCCAAAGAAGACTTTGTCGCTGGAAGGCCGACAACGACCTACAAGCTTCCGCATCGCGTTGACGGAACGGGCTTTGTGGTCTACGACGGGGCGCTCTTCTTCAACAAGGAGCGCACACGCAACATTGTCAAGTTTGACCTGCGAACTCGCATCAAGAGCGGCGAGGCCATCATAGCCAACGCCAACTACCACGACACGTCGCCGTACCGCTGGGGAGGGAAATCAGACATTGATTTGGCTGTTGACGAAAACGGCCTGTGGGTGATTTACGCGACCGAGCAGAACAACGGGCGGATTGTGATCAGCCAACTCAATCCCTACACACTGCGCGTTGAGGGGACCTGGGACACGGCGTATGACAAGCGTTCGGCATCCAACGCCTTCATGATTTGCGGAATCCTTTATGTGGTGAAGTCGGTGTATGAGGATGATGACAATGAAGCGACGGGAAACAAGATCGATTACATCTACAACACAGAACTCAGTAAAGACGGCTTCCTGGACATCCCTTTCCCCAACTCCTATCAGTACATTGCTGCTGTGGATTATAACCCCAGGGACAATCTGCTGTATGTTTGGAACAATTACCACGTTGTCAAGTACTCTCTTGATTTTGGAGCATTGGACAACAGGCTAGGTAAGACCAGCTTCTTTATTTTTCATATACATGAAATGGCACTGAAAGACTTGAAGGTGTAAGAGAATCTGAATGCATAGGAACATCACATGAGCAGTGGATTTGATTTGCACACATAGAATTTGAAATGAGGATCTCATTAAATTTGAATTGTTACTTTTTTTTCTGCAATGAAACAATGATGCAATTTCAGATGGCAGGCACGTAGCAGAATCCTAGCCTTCTGGCTAGGTGTCATTCCCAGTGTGTTTATCAATGTTTGACCAAAATTTGACCAGTGATTCCCAGCGTATTATTTTTTTATCCACTACCCTTTCATTTTAAAAATAAGCCGTAAAAGCATTCTGATGTCAACGACTTTCAGACGTGCCCTCCTTTTCATGTGTCTGATTCCATCTGAATGAGTCACTTTTCCATAAAAGTCATGGCGGCTTCAGGTTGAACCTACTAACGTTTTTGTATTGCATTCACCGCTGAATGAAGTCACATTAATGGAAAGGCACGTACAAGACAAGTACTGCATATGTGTCTCATTCATTTATTCAGATCACTGAAAGATATGATTTTGAGAGCGTGCTAAACAGCAGAAACATGAAAAAAAATCTAATTAATTAATCTCGCAGAAATCTAAAGGAAGTCTTTTTTCAGACCCTGAGCTGTCACAGAATCACAGTTTATGAGCTGAACTTTAATAATCATCTTATTTTGTTACTACACTTTGCCTCCCTTCCCTTCTACAATAACCACATAGACTGTGTATCACTTGCGGTCATGTAGTACATAATATTGGATGAGCGACTATATGAGGAAGCTGAATGCAACAATGACCTGTCTGGGTTCATAGTGAGCTCATTGCTATACGATCTGACATGCCTACCGGAATGTCAAACTGAATTTACATCAAGGGCCAGATGCACTCTACTTTGAACTTACTGTAAGAAAAGTAAATTTCTTTAAAATTTATTGGAATTTCCAACCCTTTAATTGTTTATCTGTTACTTAATTACTTTGGTGTAGCATGAATGACAATTCAAGCTTAAAATTGATGAAAATACAGTTAAAATGTCAAGATCTTTGAACTCCGTCCAGATTGGACTTGAGGTTGGGTTGATTCTGTCCCCCGGGCCTTATGTTTGACACCCCTACCCTGGGCGATGAGTGATTTTACTTTACTAATGACTCTTTTGATCTCACCCCAGCTATTTTTAAACTTTTTATTAGCGTGTTTGTTCTGGCTGACACTTTTTATGTGTTGCGTGAAGAACAGCTTGGCATGGCACGTCTTGTTTTTGTCGGATTTTGGTCAAACACTGATAAACATATGCATTTATACTTAAAGAGTGTGTGGGCTAGTGGCAATTGGCTGTGGGGTATGGTGCTCAGTGTATTTTGATTCGTCCCAAATTGGAAGCAAAGCACAGTTTAACACATGGCGACGTACTGCAGACAGATGACTATTAAAAACTGTGCCTAGCATAAATCTAAGCACCATTTTTAGCATTCATATGATGTGTTTTCTTTCATCACATGTAACAATAGGAGAAAAGATTTTTTAGGCACAGAAATAATAATTCTATTGTCTTAAATTCTCAGGCGCGTCGCACATTTTCCGTTTAACTCGAGAGTTTTTCCGCACATTCTTTAGCCACAGGCTTAGGGCTTTTATTCAGTCTGGCTGTTGACTTTGAAAAAGGAACAAGTGACTGCTCACATTAAACTTCCCAGAACTCTTTTGAAAAGTCTAATTTCTCCACTCCATTGTTCTTTTTATAAATTGGTGCTTGTTGGGAAGCATAAAACGGAGAAAAAGAACCTGTTTTGACACACCAAGGTAATTCTTTGCGCTATCTCATCAACAGCTCCAGTCAAAAATGTCACAAGTTATTTGACTGTGAAATCCTTACTCCTGCTTTCTCTATGGAGCTTTATTCTACCTGCCGCTTGCCAGTTTAATTTATTTTCTTTAGCTGGCTGCTACTTTTCTCAAAAATTTTTTTTTTTTTTTTTTTACACATCGAGTCACGCTCCAGCACACCCTGTAATGCATTCATTCTTTCAGTGGCCGTACTTACAGCGTTCACTTTTGACGATGCATGACTGTCCAAAATGTAATATGTCGTAGTTAAGGACCTTAGAGTGGTGTTATGTGCTTTTTATATTAGATGGTTCGGCGTTTATACGCAGTGGTCACACATTTCTGTCATGTAGAAACTTGCAAGTGCAAAGTCTCAGCAGCAGACTTCCAGTGAGAAGTGTTTGATTGTGTTATTGGCTGCTGTTGCAGAACAGGCTGCCCTCCAAAGAGTCTGCTGCATAAATATAGATAGTAAAATGTTGCATTAAGTGAATGGATGGAGTTGCAGAGCAAATATAAACGTCAGATAAACAGACTGATCGAGGAATGAAAGAGTGATTGAATGGGCTCCAGAGTAAGGAAGGATACAGACTTAATCTGAATAAAGCACTGGCTGTTAGCTTCCACATGGTTGTCTCTCACGAGTAGCCTAATTTTAAGATGGCAGGATAGTCACAACCACATTGTTTGAATCAGCATCGGCGTACCACTTCACTGCACACAAATTAGTCTGTACTCGCAGCTGTATTGCATTGTTTCTTCCATTAATTTGCTAGTCCGGTGAGGATGCGCAAAGAGGAAACCTGGAAACATCTGTCAGAGAAAAGCACAACGATGAACCAGCTGAGAAAGTGTGGAAAATGAGGATATGATTCCTTTTGATGCAACAATGTGAGTTGTTTTTAAGCTAAAAAGAAATGCTAAGTGTTAGTTGTAGTTCATTCTGAGTCATTGTTGTCATTCAGCGAGCCCAGAACAAATGATTCGATGAACCACAGAACACTAGAGAGTCAAAAGCCGATGTAGTCTCTTCCTTTTCCTGCAAACATGAGCTTCTGAAATTTGATCCAGTGTCATGATCACAGTGCCTGTTAGCGCTTACAGAAAGGTGTCATTCTCTGATCGCACTAACACAAGCTCATTTCCACTTGTGCTTCCACTTCCACGAGCATGCCTGACCTGCCACAGCAGTGGAGCATGGTACATGGGCAACAGAGCAGCAGATACATCGCCAGACCCACAGCTGGGGCTCCATTGCCGTATGCCCAGGGTACAGCACATGTTACGGGGGGAGTAGGTTGGGGCAGGGGGATGATGACTGGAATTGCCAAAACCACATTACAACCTTAAAAAATGTGTCCAATTTAAAAAAAATCTACAAATTAGGTTGGATGTGCACACTGGCTGTGAGCTTCACTTAATTGTCCACTTGCAGCCTCCTCAACAAGCCGACCAGTATTTTGATCCAGACAGGATGTTTTTAAAGACAGATGATCCATGCACAAGTGTGCTCGTCTGATAATTAATTTCATTAACTTGCAGTAGAAAGGGTAGCTTTTAGTAGGCAGATATAAAAGCTCTGTTATCACTTTTCATGATCGCATTCAATGCTGATTATGTGAGGACAGCTGAAATAAATTTGCTGTGTTAATATTTTTAAAGCATAAATGAAAATAAAGCTTGAGGACAACACTACATGAATGGTTAGTAAGCATGCATGCAAGCATGAACTTAAAAAAAAAAACATGGTGGTAAATGGAAAATATTACAAAGGCCAAAGCAACCTCTCTAGAGCATGTTGATCTGACAGTAGCTGACTCTCAACTATCCATCAGCCAGCGCTTCAAATTCACCTTTTGTAGTGTTTTTCACCTCCTCCATCACTTTGCGATTCAGCTCAATCATCTCCTTCACTGAGGACAGACTTCACGGGATTGTTTTAGGACTACGAAGATTGCCGCCCAGCAAGTTGAGGAGCTGCATGAAATTAGTATCAACGCTGTTAGTTGAAGACCAGGCAGCCAAAAGAAAAAAAAAAAAAAAGAAATCCTTGAAAAAATTGATGTTCCAATGAAACCAAATATGTCCCATCACATGGACAATTTTCTTACTGAAGGACTGCCACGGGTAACAACTGAAAACAATTACTCCTTCTCTCAACTGCTTTATGTTTACTGTCATTGGTTCTCATCCAACAAAGTGCTAATGAATAACCCTGAAACAGATCCTGAAATGGTTCATTTGGAAATATACCAGTTTTTAGGTTTGTACCTTGCTTAGAAAATACCAAATCAAACATATTTTAACTAACAGTTTCAACTAGTACGACCCATCTCAGCTGGACTTTACGCTAATCAGCAAAGGTAATTATGCTAACATGCTAAACGACATGTTAGCATATTATTCACTTAAAAAAGACCTCCTTTAGATAAACAAACACGATAACTAATTATCGTTTGTATTTTGATGCTACTGTGTTCTCACTATATACTGGAGTGTATACTGGGGTTAAATATATTTAACCTCACTCCTGATTTTTAGCACTGCATGTAGCGCAAACAACAGTCAAGTCAAAAACGGACTTTTACTTTGCGGGTTTTCATCCAACGCAGTAGAGACAACAGAAATGACACTGTGTAGTTCTGTTCTAACTATTCATTAAGTCACTAAGGATCACTGTTTCAAAGAGAAGACTGCCATTAATTAAATAAAAGAACAATAAAGTAGATTCAGAGCATCAGAAGACACACAAAAGCTGATGTTGGAATTCGGTGTAATGAATTGTGCATTTGTTGGCTTTACAATTTGTTGGCTTTACATTCTTGAATGAACAGATCAACCCTAACTTGACCGCAATTCCCTGCGTCATTTAAAACATGCGACCCAAGATGCTGTAGAACAGGTTACAGAGCTGAGTCATTTTCACATATTTATTGACTCTCAAGCTACAAATTTCTGAGCAGATCTCAGTAAATGTAATAAAGTTGCTTCATTTACCGTCTGTAACTTTGCAAATTCTGGGTAAAAGAGAGGCAGCGCACTGCAAACAGTGCTCCGCAGGAAATCATAAAATATCCTTTATCAAAGCAGACTGTTTTCTTACTCTCGCAGCAACGTTAAGTGGGGGTGAAATTTAAATCTGGCA